ACAAGTTTGTTAAAAAACCACTAATAGATGATTTGACTACTTTCTGGAAGCCTCACACAACTGACTGGGCCTCACCTTTCAAACCTGGGACCACAATCTGACATGGATTTTTAGCTCCACTGGGGATTTTGTAGTCAGAGACTCCCTGACTGCTGGGACTTCAAGCGTTGCCAAAGTTATGATTGTAAAGAAAATCTATTATATTTGCAGTACCCTCAAATACCAAGTAAAAGCTATGGAGCCTTTACACAACATAGCAATCCTAAGTCGGTATGTTCTTCCAACACCAAAATAAACAAAAGCAATGGCATTTTTTTAGGAAGAGGGGATATCTTTTATTAGACCAGGTGATGTAATTGGAAACAACAGACAAGCTTTCAGGCTCACAATTTGTTCACCAGGTTATAAAGAGGTCACGAAATACATCATCTCTGGGGTACTTGTTATTTTGTTCTTAATTGTGTTCATGAACTCTCTTTTCATAAACGGACACAATTTGGTTGACATGACTGCAGTGTGATGATACAAGTCACAACAAATCTGAAAGAGACACCCCTGACTCCTTCTAGACTGTCATTTCAGACCCAGAAAGGAAAACTTGCCAACATCTCATAACATCATGTCATCACCTCAACATGAATTAAACCAGACTAAGATGAGAGGTTTAGAAACCTATGAGAAAAGGTCTAAAAACTTGCCACAGGAAACAATTACAAAAGTGGCACTTTTCAGATAACCTGGGCCAGTCTTTTTTTGTCAGAATGAGCTCTGTATTGTACTGGGTAAATCAAATAAAGGGCACAGATGTCTCTAGGTTAAATCCTACAGCTGCAAATTTTTAGATGTCACTCTCTCGGGGTGCAGTCCCTAACCTGAGGAAAGCCCCTGCTCCTCTCCATGCAGCTCGGTCCTCTGAGAGGAGTGCACTGAGCCAAGAGCTGCCCAGAAGCAGCATGTTGAACCTAACCAAGGAAGGGGCCAAATGTAGTGCCTGGTGGAGAGTGAGTCTGATCTTCTATTTGAAGGAGGTTTTCCCACTTCACAGCCACTGTTTTACACCCACAGGTAAGTTGGTCTGTCACTGTCTGTGAGAACGAATTCCTTGAACAAAATTATAGCTGTATGAACAGCAGCAGTTGGCCGCTTTCTGCTTTCCTGGAGGTCAGATGATCACTGGTCACATCTAGAAAAAAAGAAGCCAATAAAAGGTCTGGTCTAAACCCTACTAAGGTATGAAGAACACTCCTTGTTTCAATGGCTTTGGACTACTGAATGGTACCCATGAATCTTCTGCTCAGACTTACTGTAACGCATCCATGATCAAGGAGGAGAGTACTGGTCAATGTGCTTGCGTGTACAGACTCACCAGGATTGCTGGGCAGGTCATGCAGACATTGTCTGCCATACGATAGTTTCCATACAGTAGATGATATTTGGAGCTAGAGAATTCTGCCTTGCATGAAACTAAACCATATCACAGCCCATCAACCAAACTGTGCTTTGAAAAGGAACATGAAAAGCTTAGCCTTTTGTCCTCGTGTTGTGGTCCTTGCGTTCATTTTCAAAAGGAGGAACTCTGCTCCGGTGCTGTTCTTACCCTGGACACTTTCTGGAGCTGAACCCAGGCTAGGAATGCTTGTGGTCTACATCTGATAGGCTGTCAGTTGCTGAGATAGGACTGTAGAGACTGTAGAGACTGAATTACATGTAACAATTTTATGTGTTGACTGGTTAAACTGTAGATTGGCATATTTGTCTGTAAAGGTGGTTTGACTCCACAGGCTCCTGGAAAAACAAGGATGAGGAATGAAAAAACTTTCTGAAAGGCACCTCTACGCAAATAGAGAGTAAAGGAACAGTATAGAAACATTGTCTTTGATGACTTTATTTCCATTGCAGATAGGCTACATAACATTTAAAAACATACAAGACAGAAGAATCCTGGCATCATTTAAAGGGCTTTGAGCAAGGAACAGGGACTGGAAGGTGTTTCTGTGGGTGTGTTTTTGTTTACTTCTAAGAAATCAGATGATAATGTAGAACGTTTCCAGCAATGAATGATGAATTTAGACTTGTCTAAGTTAAACTTTTAGGTAAGAATGACACATATATAGAGTATTACTTGTTTAAAAATCCAGTTTATCTAAACAAGGTTTTCCTGTTGCTAAAATGAGCAGTGTATTTGTTTCAGACAGGCCCTCCAAATCTGGAGGACTTCACAGTGAGAACAATCAATACAGAACCATACTCCAGAAAACAAAGTGGGGAAAAAAGTGTCACATGAATGTTAATGTCTCAGCTGTGGAGCCTGGTGTGTTTTTTAGTTCTTGGGCCTGAATACACACATTAGCCATGTCTTGACTGCAAGTTGGGAACTTGGGAAATAGCCGAGTCTCTTTTTTTAACAATATAACTCATGATGGTACCAAACACAGGATCATTCACATAATTATATCACTATTTGATGTGTATAAAAATACCAAAATCTGCCTCTTTACAAGTTGAACAAAACTTAAAAGAACTGCTCTTTTTGAGATTTTTCTATTTCAGAAGCATGCATAAAATCAACAAAGGCATAAAATCAGCAAAGGCTAAAATCCCTGTCTGCTCCATTTATTCTGATTTGAACTTTTGCTTTTTTTTTTCCTCCTTTGTTTATAATGCCCTTTTGGAAGTACAAAAATATTTTTATTCCCCCTACTAATTTTGACTTTTTCCATTTAGGAATCATTGATTCACCCTCATTTTTTGTACAGCTGCCATTCCAATTCTGTTAAATAACTTCTTTTGCCACAATATCTTTGTTTGTTCCACAGCACCATTGATTGATGTTGACACAGCCGTGGTAAGAGAGTATTTGATTAGTTAATTTCTGGCACAGAAACGGGAGGAGGAGAACAAATGTATGCATTTTCATATGTGGCACATAGCATTGTTTAATTTTTTTTTTCTTTTGTGATAGAGAGGTAGATTTTATAACTAACTAAACTATTTAGGAATGCAGCTGGCTCAGGGGATTGCTGATGTCCCATGTGATCTTTTTCCAGTAGATTTTTGGTTCTAATTTGATCCAGATTATGATTATCTAAAGACTTTCTGTGGCATATGCAAAATCACTTGATTGTCACAGTCCTGTTCCTAGTTGGCTCCAGTCCACACCACAGAAAGTACAGTCCTAAGTATCACAGCTGGCACTCTTTGTGGAAAAAGACAAGGATTCACTGCCTAAATTTTCTCTCACTAAAGTCAGAGGTAAATTTTATTTTAAATTTCAATGGAGCACAAGCAAGAAATGATTTAGCATTAATGCTTGCCTTCACTCCTCAAAAGACGATCCCTTTCAAGGACACCATAAAGAAGCATCAACTGTTGCTGCTGGCGCTACAGTATTTTGGAGAGGAAAAGAGGACTGCAGGTTCTAGTTTGGTAACTGTGGCACCTTATGAGCAAACAGTCCTAATATTCATGTCCAAAAGACAACTGGAGCAGGTGCCAGAAACCCCAGGGACTGGGTGGACTGGGAAGGAAAGGACTGCTGTTGTCTCTGTGTTGTATGCCTCAGAAAGTTTATTTGCTTTGATTGAAGTCTGTTTTCAGAAAGTTTATTTGCTTTGATTCATTTGGATGCACAGGGTCCACTCAGGTCCAAAACTGCATTCAGCCTTATAATCCATTCAGAAACTGGAGTGATAGGAAGCAACTCTGTGCACTGACTTAACGGGGCTGATTCTCTCTGCCCTCCTTCTATGGCTCTTCCTCCAGTGTATCCTCTATCCTTTTTTTATCCCTTATTTGCACAGTCCCAAACTGCCCTTTATACAGAACAAGAAGGAGTTGGCAGTATATTCCACGGTAATGGAAAGTCAAAGAATAATAACAATTAGCACTTCATTTAGCATCTTAACTATAACACAAAGATGCCTAGCCAGCAGTATCTCAGGCACATGGGGAAACTGGTCACATAGAAAAGAATTTAGTGACCTGGCCAGCCATGAAGTAAGCTATTCAAAACAGCAATCAAGACTTTTTTATTTGCAGACGTGGGTCCATCCACCAAAATATTCTGTCTCACCAAGACTGGCATTTATAGGAAAACTCCTCATATATAATTGATGATGATAGTAACCATGAAACCTGCTATGCTTTTGTTCCAATCAATTTCGCATCCTCTTCTTCCGACATTGCATAACATGAGGGCAAATTGAGTGGAGCTTTTAGGATTCCCTAGACATCTCCCCCTGCCATTTCTTTCCTGGTCTCACTGAATGACTGCATGAGCTCGCCTCATCAACAGCAGTACCCTTGTGGACCTGGGTATTTCCTTAGACCCCCACAATCAGGTTATAGATATATCTTGTCATTCTTTCAGCATGACGTCATTAACATTTGGCTTTTTGTGTTAATCCACACAGGAAAAACTTTTGGACAGACGTTCTTCATTTGCGTCTCAACTATCTCAACAAATTTTTCTTCAGTTTGAGGAACATTGTCCAAACTGCATCTGTTCAGGCGGCTGTTGCAAAGACCATTCTCCCGGCTGGTAGTGGCTGCTGTACGATTTCTCTCTGCTATTTTCTACTGACACTTTCCTATTCTTTAATCCCATCAAAGGAAAAGCAACTTTTCTTCAGTTTTAAGGGCCCCATCTCCCCTGTCATTTGATGTCAGGATCTGCTGTCTTTGGCAAGGAGTGCAAGGCTTGGATGAATACCTCGCTGCACGGGAGGGGCTTCAGTTTTTTGAAGGCACAAATTTATAGCATTCTGTGTAAATCCCACAGGGACTCCCCAAGAGTAAAAACGACAATACCGTACGCAGGTGGCGATCAGGTGGAAACCATGGGCAAAGCACGTGTGCTTTATTTCCAAGAAAGGTACAAAAACTGGCTAAGGAATATCTAGAAAGGATTACGAACTGCCTAATTTGTTTCTAGGCTTGGCCGGTCATTCTTCGCAAACTCTATTATAAAGATCATTATTTCACGTATTCTGGTATTACAGCCGTTTGGGTTTGGCGGCCACCCTGGAGATCTGGAAGAGCGACGGACGCGTGCGGGAAGGGCGGAGGGCACGGGTTTGTCCGGCAAGCGGTGGGCCAGCAAGCGCGTGCCATCGCGAGGGCTGCTGGCTGGCGCCAGGCCTGCGGCTCGCCCCGGTTCGGTTCGGCTCGGCCCGGCCCGGCCCGGCTGAGGGGGCTCCAGGCGCCCGCCTCAGCCCCGCGCCGCGCTCGGGTGCAGCCCACTGGGGAGAGAGAAACCAGGCGCCTGGGCGGCGGGCAGGCCGGCCCGCGGGGGGGCGGTG